CGGCCCCAGCGGCGGCGCAAGCGGCGGCCCCAGCGGTGGCGCCAGCGGCGGCCCCGGCGGCGGCCCCAGCGGCGGCCCCGGCGGCAGCGCCAGCTGTCACCGCACCGCCGCAAGCCATCCAGCCGCCGCAGTCCGCGGCGCCGGCATTGCCGCCTGCGGCCGCCGGGCAGTACATCATTCCTGGACCGGGAGGACAGATCTCCGCTCCCGCGGCGCCGTCAGGGCTGCCGTACACCATCCTGCAGGCCGGGCCCAATGGCGTGGTTGCAGTGGCGGCGGCGCCATTTTCCGGTCAGCCGCCGCAGCTGCCGCCAGGCATCCTAACATTCGCCGGGCCGCCGCCGCCGCCGCCTCAACAGGTCCCAGGCGGCTTGCCCGTACCCGTACAGCAGTACGGTATCACAATGCTACAACCGCCTCCGCAGCCGCAGGCGCAACCACAGGCACAACCGCGGCCGCAGCCACAAGTACAGCCTCAGCTACAGCCGCCGGCACCGCAACCACCACAACCGCAGCAACCACCACAACCACCTGTGATGGATTCCCAACAGCTACAGCTTCAGCAGCAGGCAGCCATGCAGGCCGCAGCCATCCTGACGGCGGCGGCGAGGGTGGCGGCGGGGCTGCCCCCTGTCACCGCGCCGCCGTCAGATCCCGCGGACCTCGACCAGGTGGGGGCTGCCCTGGTCGCCACGCGTGTGTGCGCATGTGTTTATGTTCTGTGTGCGGGTGTTCAAGCAGGGGGGCAGGAGCTTGCGAAGATGGCATACGAGTAGGTTGTATGTATGCATGTACGTATGTATGTACGTATGTTTTACATATCGATCCGGGCTTGACGCTGCCCAGGGGGACCCCTACGGGATCCACCACCGAAGTATTCTCCACCTAGCGGGAGGAGAGGGGCGTGGGGGGCCACTATCCCCTAATATTGCTCGACCGAGGCCGCGCGACCCTGCGTGTGTATGCGGGGGGGGGGAGGGGGAAGGGGAGGGAGGGTTGTTGGAGGGGGGCGCGGGGCCTTCAGGACGGTCTGTTCGGTTCTTGGAAGGCGGTCAAGGGGCGAGGGAGGGAAGCCCATGCCTTGCGTCAAAACACAACAGAGGGTGTGTCGTGTCGTTACTAAGTCAATTGGTAGAGGCGGGTGGCCCGGGGGAAAGGGAGGAGAAGGTAGCCCCCTTGGCGAGGTGAGATAACGGAGATGGACGACGTGTTGGAGTTCTGGATAGCCCTTTGGGTTTTGATGGGGTTGGGTGGGGGGGTGATGTGAAGGAATGGTCTTGGGAGGGGAGGGGGATTTCCGGTGGGAGAGGGGAGAGGGGGGGAAACCCGCAATGTGCTTGTGTGTGTGTGTGCATGAACGTGCCGTCCTTCCCTTCCTTTTCGGTCCTGCTGCTGACGGGTGATGGTGGTTACGGTGGTTATGATAACAGATGCTGCAGTACGTGGACGCTGCCGTACGTAGCCAGGAGGAGACTCTGCTGGACTCGCTCTTATCTGGACTCGTACACGGGCAACCTGTGCTGCTGGCGGACCTAGTCCTCGCGCACATCAAACACTTGCCGCCAGCACTCCCGCAACACCTGTGGCCGCCGCCAGCGGCAGCGGCAGCGGCGCAGCCGCTG